CTGGAGCTGCCTGCAGCTGAGGACATGTACTTGTCTAGATGTCTGAGCAGGATCTCGAAGACTTACGGAGACCCAACTTACGCTGCTCAACACCTCATTGAACTGTTTCCCTCTGGCAGAGGTTACAGGACTTTCCACTCACACACCACAAGGATGAAAAACAGCTTCTGCTAATGCTGACATCTACTACTGCTTGTATTAATTCTTGTATTCCCGTTTATTACCCTATCCACTGCACACAACTCTATACACTTGTAGCAGCCACTCGGGCTTTAATCAGCTTAACCTGCTGAGACTAAACAACACAGTGAATCCCTGACACATTTACTGGTGCTCCACGCACTCACCTCTTTATGGCCACCAGCTCACCAGTCTCATTGCTCTTGCCCAGGAGCACGCTGCCATACGTGCCGTCCCCGAGCTGCTTGAGTGTGGCGTAGCGGTTAATCATCCACACAGAGCCCTGGCTCTCCTTCAGCGAGGAACCCTGACAATCCCAGACGCTGGTCATTGTGAGCCCATTAACAATCGTCCACAGGTCAACAACTGATAGGCTGATGTGTCCTGCTACTGTGTGGCTGCCCCAAAGCTTTCACTGCAGAAACACAGACATGAAACATCCATTCATCCTTTACTTTCCTCTCCGCAGACGGGTGATGTAGGGTAAGGCTTACCTTAAGAGGAAGACTGGAAAAGCCCTGCCCACTCCACTCTGCCTCACCTATCCTCCAGCTAAGTCTTTCATGGTGGTAGAGGAAGGGCGAGAGGAAATGGATTAAAGTTTTCATGGGATTAAGAAAGTCTGACACAAAGCAGACTAACAGGGGAAGCCTGCTTCGAGTCTGAGGAGTGTGAAAGTGGGGCACATTTGGTGTAGAATCTTCAAGTAAACAGCAACATCAAACACCAGTATAATTTAATCTTTTTCAAAAAACTGTTAGCACACAGGCTCATTATGTTTAATTTGGTAGGCTTCCTTAACTTTTTCAGCAAGATGAATTCATGATTTGTTGCTAAAAAACACACTGGAAGGCATCGTAGCCCAACAACAACAAATCATCTACCATTTGGAGCACACCTTCAACTCCAGAGCCCCGGGTTTCATTTGAAACCCAATTAACCTACATTCACAGTGGGTAGAAGCAGGATGTTGGTCATCATTTAACAAATTAAGGTCAGTGTGTATTTTTAACTGACATAAGATGTGATTAAATGAGGGCCTGTAGTAATTATAGGGGGATTATGAGGTGTTTTGAGATGTTCAGAGATATTCACTTGTTGAAGACTTAACTTGAGATAGAAAGGCCCACAAACAAACAGCAGCTGAAAGCCGCTGCAGTACAGGCCCAGCAGAGCATTAAAAAGGAGGAAACCCAGCATCTGGTGATGTCCATGACTTCATGACGCAAAGGGTTTTCAACCAAGTATTAGAAATAAACATTTTATTTTCAGTTATTCAGTTAGTCCAATTACTTTTGAGTCCCTGAAATGAAGGGATTTTGTTAAAAATGCTTTAGTTCCTCACATTTTTATGCAGTACTTTTGTTCAGCCCACTGACTTAAAGCTGACAGTCTGCACTTCAACTGCATCTGAGTTGTTTCATTTAAAATTCATTATGGTTATGGTACAAAACCAAAATTAGAACAATATACAGACCGAACTGTTTTTCTTTTGCTCCCCTTATAAGTTGTAAATAAACTTATATTGCTTGCTATTTATTGCTCATATTTGGTTACGGTATTTTGTTTTATAATCATTTTACTGTTATCACAATTTTATTTATTACTTTATTATTTAGTGAGTTGTCTAGGCTGCCTGAGAAGGCAACCTTGAACTTTAAATCAGCTAATCAAGTAAAGCGTTTTATCTTTATGGACCTGTTCTCAGAACTTTTTGATTACAGCATGTATTTTCCACCAATGTCACAGTGTTGAATTTATAATTAAATGTTACATAACAGCATAATTCCAGTGGAAAAATAGCTTTGAATTTTCTCTGTATTTGTGGTAAAAGGCTGGGATTAAAGACAAGGCAAGAGTTTGTGCCTTAAAATAATACCTCTTAACTTTATAGCGTAATTATTCTCCTTAATTTAGCAACCTTTTCCAATGCCTCTAAAAACTATTTTTGTACAGCTGCCTGTTTGATATGTTTTTCACGTGTATTCTCGAAATTCATTTAAAAAAAAAAATACAGGAAAAAACAAACGATACGGAAGAAAATGTGAGCTGTGTTTCGAACTTTACACCACTTAAACCATTAATATTATCGTCTGAAAATCTTACCATTATATTTCAGATACTATTGGCACAGGTTTGTAACAGAGTTAGCTAGCTAGCTAGAAAGCATGTCTAGCTACAAATTTCAACTCTATCATAAAAAAAAATATCACATAATAAATAAAAATTAGACATTTTATTTATTAATTATTCTGCGTTGCATAACCTGAGTATCAGTAAGATTAAAGTGTAGCTACCTCAGGAGTCATTTCACTGCTGGAGATAACACAGAGATGCTAGCTTTCAGCAGCTAGCTGTCGCTTAGGCAACAAGACTTCCAAAATAAGAGTCAAGAGAACTCGGATAGAAAAACACATGAGGTATTGTAATTTATCCTATAATATGGGCAGATCTATGATTAGGCTTGTATTAGAAGTATATCCAATATAATTAAATTAATGTGTAATAAAAATTTTTAAAAAATTGTTAATTCAGTTTTATTTTTCTTCACATTTTTCGTCACAATCTTATTTAAATTTCTACGATACTTTATTGTATATATGTATTTATGTATGTATGTATGTATTTATTTATTATCTATTTACTTTTTATTAAGATATCTAAATTTTATTTTACTGAGCAACAGCCTAGTCTACTTATACTTATTTTGTTATATACTTGTGTCTAATTGCAATAATTAAAGGAGTTTCCAGCTCTGAGATAAATTTAAAAGAAATCCATTTTATTTCACAAATGCTGTGATGTCATGTCAATATTTAAACAGAAAACAAAAGGAACAAGACAATGCTGTTAACAGTGGGCAAGATTTAAATCTGAATATTTTTTGATTATTTATTGAGATTTGCAATAAATATTTTTGTTTTATTTTGTTTTTTTGAGTTTGACAAAACAACCTAATAACTTTTAGTTCACTCACATGACATCACCTTTATCAGCACGTGGCACACGCAAGTTTATATTTCCATTACCCAGATCCTTGCATAATCTGACCCCTCACATTTACATATGATCAATATTTCAATATTTAATGATATTTAATATCAATATTTCACATGTAGCAAAACCAGAAAAAGAAGAGCACACACAGGAAAAATACACAGACACTATATGACAAAGGGAAAGCAGGACTATTTATACACAGAAGGCTAATTGGCAAAGTAGAAACAGGAGGGGAAAGAGGTGAACATAATCAAGACAAACACAGGACACTAACTGTCAAAGGTAAACAATAAATAAGAAAATTAAACACAGTGACAAGAAAAGTCACAATGAACAAGATACAAAAGCACATGAGGGAAACTCAGAAAAAAAAAAGAAAACTGGTACACGAAATAATGAAACCAAGGTAAGGACTCAAAATAAAACCACACAACAACACAACCCCCCAAAAACATCAAGAATAGACTCTTCAGATGCCCAAACTCAGATATGTTAACTCTGGGCAAACTCAAAAACGTGATGCGTCTCACGCACCATGTCACTTTGCTGACCCTTTCATCCCTCCCACACAATAAATGCACTTGAGACTATCCCAGAATCTATACGATGTAAAAGGACATTGTTAAGTCAAAACAACAGGATGGAACCTGCAAGGTTCATAATGTAAAAGCATACTGGTGCTTGTCTTTTGGGGTTCGATTGTGGCTCAGAGTAGAGGGTTTCAAACTATGCTACAGATCTTCTTTACTAATGCACATCATGCTGTTGCAGAAACAGCCTCCCAGGGGAAGAAGCACTTCTATCACTGCTTACTGTTTCACAAGTGCTCCATCTGGTGGTCCATTTTGCTCTCTGCCCCTGTTTGTGTAGTCAGAATGTTTTCTGATCCTTAACTATGATTATTCACGTCACAAAGCTCCCCAGTTATCAGACACTTAATTCAAGTGCCCCACACTGACTCTAGTGCTGTTCATGAAGCCATTGAAATATTTTTACCTTCATACGATGAAGGTAAAAGTTAGACAGCCTCGAAGTGCCAATGGTGCTAAATATTTGGCACTTTTTAAATCATCACATTTCAAAAGTGCAACAAGGTCAATTTTACAGCCATTCTCGGTGCCAGAATCAAATTGATATGTTATAGTTTTAATAGTAAAACCGTACTGATTTGATGTCTATGTCAGAGTAACAGGAAGAAGCATCTGTACCCTGGATGTTTTTAAGTTAAGGTTCTGGTAATTTAAAAACTTAAAAACGTGGATTTCTGAGTACAATTTAAAGGATTGCATGACTGTGTGGGACAGAAGGCTGTTTAAAACAAGTTATAAAGGTCTGATTAAATATATAAATAAATTTTGATACAAGACTCATCTTCTTGCTGTGGTTTCTCCTGTGAGTCCTATTTTAACTGAAAAATGTTGGAAAATTTAGAAAATCATGATAGCATGAAGGTCATATTTTGCATGGCTTAAATATGTTATAGTTGTTATATTATATGGAACGCTCCCAAATTATGTTGTTTAGACTCACAATACAAAAAAACTGTTTATGAGAAAATAAAGGAAGCATTAAAAAACATTATTCATGTTGTGATAATGTGATGAACCATGAGAAAGAGGAACCAGTGCAGGAGCAAACAGGTCATACACTGTCATGCACGTGTAATAAAAATCCAGGACATTTTGCCAAAAGGTAAAATTCACAAACACATTAAATCTGTTTGTGAATTTTGTTATGCACAAGGTTATCAATCATAAACACAAGGAAAAACAGGGAAAAACGCTAAACGCAGGAGGAAAATCGCTAGCATTTAAAACTGTTTGTACTGTTCAAACAACATTATTTGATCTGGGAATACTCAAAAAACGGAAAAATTAAAGTACTTATATTTTTTATCTGTGGATTTAATTCTTAATGCACTGGCATCCACATATACATTTAATGTTGCTGCTGATATGAGTGGAGTTCATTTTCATAACTTTATACACTGTTTATAAATAACAGTCTCATTTTTACCTGGTATAATGGGCCTTAATTTATTATACATATATAATTGATACAAATTGTGTATGTAGTTATATTTTCTACAGGTAAACAGTTTTTTAGCACCAGCTGAGCAGACAGAGAGGGGACTGTGCCACCACATCCTCTCCCTTGTTGACACGCCCCTGCTTAAGACACTAGCTCCCACTGTTAAAACATACGGTAGTGTCTAATATAATTTTTTTTAATCATAGAAACAATGTTAGGAGTTAAAGTGCCATTTTGATAATATCTTTCTAATATCCTTGTGTCAGATCGTGTCAGAGGAATGTTTGCAGGGCCAAATAAAGAAACGCTTTGGTGCCGTGTCTTAAAATAGAGATTACTGTCTAGAGAGCAGGAGCCACCAACTGATTTAGAGATGCAAGCATGAAATGTGAGGAATGAAAACCATGACCAGCATTCTCGAAATGGCCATACTGTAGTAATGTGACGTGCCGTGCATTGCACCTAACAACTGTGCAGTGAGATTGTTGCCTGTCTGTGAGGCGCATAGACTTGTTTTTTTCCAAGGTTGTGCTTTTGGTTACTTACGGTAAGGTGGACCCGCAGTGTCCACTAAAGGATCAGGTGATCCACTAACTACGAAGCGAAGGCTGACTGGGGAAAATGCAAAATGACATATAGCAAATGTCGGAGCATAATTCATTCACGTTTTCGGCTCAAATTCGGACCTGAATCGCATCGCTGGAGCTCCAATGTGACGATGGCTCGTTAGGGCTCGTGGCACAACGGCGATTTTTTTGATATTTTAATTTATGAAAAATCACATTCACAGACACATATTGGTTTCAACATGGGGCTGTGCTACAGTCTGCGTCCCCGGCTCTTCGGGGACCTGAGCGGCTCTATCTCCAACGCTACCTCGGACTCGGACCAGCCTCCGGATGCCGCCGTACCGACACGCGCCGGGGGAGCTCGCCAGGAGGACACCGGGGGATGCGGGGAGACTTCGTCGCTACGCGGCGGCCTGGTGCGCCCCGGGGACCCTGCCAGGCTCCCGGCCGGGGAGCACCGCCGTGGAGACACCGGTACCGACGGTGTGCTCATACAGAACGGAGGCGGCGGAGGTGGAGGCAGCGGTAAAGGGACGGGGAAGGACCGCGGCCGCCGCTTACAGCTGCTGCAAAAAACAAGCACCCAAAAGCAGAAAAACTGTGACAAACTGCTGGTGGAGGAGAAGGAGGCCGAGAAGGAGGCGAAGAAAGTCAGTAAGAATATAGACAGGGTGCTCAAGGAGCTCAAACGGGAGTACAAACAGACGCATCGGCTGCTGCTGCTCGGTAGGTTGTGTACCTCTGTTTTATTATTAGAAACCAAAAAACGCACTGGCCTTTCCAGAAATTATGTCACTGCTCTGGCGAGGCCTGTTGCCACATCTGTTGGCTTGGCTGTGAAGACTAAACTCCCTGCGGCTGTCAGTGACAAGTGATGAAGATGGACGTTTAGACTACCGGATCCTTGCTGTCACAGTTACATTCAGGGTTATGGGGATTTTTGAATAGCCAATTAAGCGAAATGTCGACTGTTAATCAGGGACAAACATAAACATTACATGGGCACACAGACACTTCTTAGCTGGAGGCTATACTGGGCCGTATTTGCCTTGTGTAGTAGCCTCTATCATAGTATGAGTGTGGCATATGTCCAAGGCGACAGAAAACAAATATTTCTTTTACTAACTGGCACATTTGGACTCTGGAGTGTCCTATAAGTGCAGCTGACTTGCTCTGTAAAGATAATCTAAAGATCTCTTAGCTTTGGCTGTTTGGTCATTCCCACTCAGCACTTATGTGGAGGAGCTGGGGCACTTTTTAAAGTCATCTACCCACCAACAAATATACTGTAATACAGGCTGCTTTAATAATGCTCTAGTGTCTATTAAATTAGATGTTATACCTAAAACAAGTGGTTTTCACACATTTTTGTACCCAAGGCACCCCAAGATTTCAAGGCGTACGTCAGTTTGTATTTGCAGAAAAAAAGCCCACATGTTGAAATGTTGTTAATTCTTCTTTAAATTATGAAGACACTTTGGATCACAGATGTGCAGCATCTGCACTTAAATGACACCTACAGTCTAGATCGTTGTAGTTTGGCCCACACAGGGAAGCAGTTCATCAATCGGACTGCTTGTTCACTAATACACTGCATTTACATCTCATTTATTGCTTTTTGTGCTACTGGAATAATTGTAAGTTTGGGACAAAATCACAAGGCACACAATGTGAAAACCACTCCTGTAATTATATAACCGGAGACAACAGGTACATCTAGTTACAGTAGTCTTTTTTCCCCCCTCCCTCCAGTAAATGAAT